ACACTGAGCGATTCTTAGTAGAAAGCGTTCAGTATCAAGAATTAGTGAAAAAAAGTTGAAAAAAGAAAACATGGCAAGTGAATATAGTGTTATCCAATCACTGGATGACCCAATCTGGTGAAGAGATAATAATCACAACTGACGAAAGTTAGGCATCAACAAACTAAGAAAAGTAAATAGCATGTGGCCTGGAATTAGAAAATTTCAGGCATGCGACAAGAAGGGGGAAGGTAGTGCACCAAGCAGAGATAAAATCTGCAACATGCATCTAGAAAATACAAAATTTAAATGGCAAGTGCAGCAATAAGTGCAAAACATATTCCACGCTCAGTGCACAGACCCTACAAAAAATAATACAAAAGCAGGATGCATGGGAAAAGGACAATGAAGAATTGAAGAAACAATTAAAACACTGACAAATCGGATACATCTGAAGATATTTTGATGACACTAATGCCGCTGGATGAACAGAAGATGATGAAGTTGTCTACAAAAATTATCACTTTCATTGGCTCACACACAATGGACATCTTAAATGATCACGGAAAACAATAGGACCATATTGAGCCGTCATACATAAATTTCCAAGCGATGGATGTACATTTTTTGGACAACTTGTAACCCACGTGTACATGAAAGGATCCTGGGTTAAAAAGTTTTCAAGAAACACATGGTCCTGCCCCTCTGAAGAAACCCTACGGTTAGATTAGATACAGAGGATGCCATCCATATCTCTAGCTGGTGTAAGCTTTCTCAATGTCAAAAGTATTGCAACTAGATGTTATCTCAAGACTAAAGAGGTGGAGATACGTTTTGCCAAGTTAAAATAAATGTTCCAGGGTTGACCCAAGTTTCCTGAATCCAGAATGAATTGGAGCAAGTAAATTCCAAAATACTAGGGGCCTAACCAGATTATGATTTTATTAATACGGAGAGTTTTCTCATACAACTAGTTAGGAGAAACAGGGTGGTAAATCAAATTTTACTATTGGATCCTTTTGATGGGTTAAAAAAAACTTCAGTAACTAGGGGTGCTCCAATTCATCAAATTTCTCGTATTGTTGACAATGGTCACTTAATCTAATCCTAGAGTTATCTCATTCCACTAAAATAAGAATTGTAGGTCTTATTGTACTCGTTCACACGGTGGGAATGGATCCATTTACTGTTATTCAGAATGTATGTAGGAATCTGTTGTCCACTGACCTGAGCATTGGTATAGGCTCGATATGCGTAGTGTGGAAATGGAATGCGAAGGAATATCAGAGGCGAGATGTCAAATTCGTGTGCTTCTATTATTCAGTATGTATCTTTAACTATAATGTTATAATAATAATAATAATAATAATAATAATAATAATAATAATAATAATTATTATTATTATTATTATTATTACTACTACTACTATTATTGCTTATGATACAACACGTCATGAATGATTAATTATATTATATACTCAAATCTCATATAACCTAATATTTTTTTATGATCTTTAATACAATATAGTAACCGGGATACCAATCCTCTCTGAAGGAAGTTAGAGAAAGGCTGTAGGACTCAATACTCTGGGTGATGAAGCTCGACACGTTAAAAGATCTACATAGTCTCAGAAAATTATTTGCTTCACACATCAGATATGTTAATTTCACATGTCTACCCATTTTGTAAGCAGTTACATTTTGGACAAAAGACATCTGGTTAAAAATATAAGCGATAAGAAAATGTGAGACAATTCATGGTCAAGAGTCAATTGGAGGCTCTGATGGAGACAGCAGGAAACCTATCACTTCACAGCCAGAGCTAATTTACTTTTTAGCAAATTGCCCACGTGCAGTGAGGCTTCTGGGATTCCAAAACCACACTGTGCATCTGCATGTTCGGTATAACTTGGAATTAGTTTGTCAAAAGGAAGTGAGAAAATTGGGACTAATAAATTTGTCAGAAATAATTGGACAGTAGAACATATTGCTGAAGGATATGAAAGATAGTTTGTCCCTGTGTGGCAGAGAGATGAACATGCATACACTAGATGACCTCTGCTACCTTCTCTTTTCATTATCGGCATCGCAACAAAACAAAAGTTTCACTTTGCCACATGGCCACTTTCACATGATGCAGCCTGCTAACATGGATTTCGTACCTACCTTCATGTCAAGTTTGGAAAGAGAAAAGAATCCTTTGGATGGAGTAGGAAAAAAACACACAAGGGTCCAATTAAAATAATTTGATATGCACCTTGAGAACTCTTGGTCCAAAAGCGTCATGCAGTAGCAAAAAACACGAACTGAAGAACCCTACAGTATGTTGTGTATCACTGTCATCTGATGTGTAATTGCCTAAATGATCAAATTTGTTTCATTTTCATATTTGTCGTTTGTTTCATATAAATTCTACTTCATATTTGTCACAATCAGTAAGAACTTTTGTTTATCTGGAATATCATCAAACATTGAGAATTAATTTACTTATTCAGAGATTCATTCAGCCCATAAGCAGAATTCAGGTCTTGATTTGATGACTGTTGTGAAACCATGGTATTCTGAAATCTTCGTAAAATCTGATTACTGTTTAGTCCAGCCTCAGGTTTGTTCAAAGATCCCAGAAGATATCTAACCTTTTCCATGATTTCATCATCATATTATTATTTATCGCTGGCAATATCATTCAAGACCTATCTTATAGCTGGAAATCCTTTACTATGTGTCAATGAGGTATCAATTCGAGCACTCCATGTTGCTTTCCCAGACAGATATATAAATTTATAAGTACCCATATCATATCCACAAGACATGATGGATATACAGACCTTTTCAACGTAGGTCAAATATTGGGAATAGACTACAGAAGAGGACCAGTATCATGGGCTCTTCTGGTGAGCAAGTCGTAGATGTTTGTGGAGGATTTGTTTCTGGCTAAAACTATTCATAAACGAAAATTCTTTACAGCTTTATTCTAAGAAGAATTATGCGTGATGAGGAAAAATTTTTTAAATTGTCTATGTGTTTGACGGGCAGTGCACAAGACAGTGGTAAAAAACCATGTTCAGTAGGTTGTTCAAAATCTGCTGAACAATTGAGGGGTTTCTTACTAGAACTAAACAAGTTCAATATTCCATATTTTGAGCTATTTCACCACTTTATTCCCAACATATCTCAAATGGCACTATCTCTTGGGATATTTCCTTTTAGCAGGTGCCAAACTCATTGAAAAATGTAAGGCGGGGAAAAATCATAAATTCATTACTATATGTTTATGCTATGAAGTTTTGGTGTCTCCTTAACAATACAGTTTGATTATTCTAAGAAACCCTTCAATTATGTCAAAACCTTAAAATGGCATGAATCCCAAGAAATATACGATATATATAATACATACTAGTCAATATAATTGCAAAAATCTTGGCACATTTTAAAATAAATATTTTTGGTTCATCTCATTTTGTGTTGCTATTTTCTTATTGTTCTCTATCCCTTCAATATCTCCCCAATTTTCAATTATATTATTCTATTTTGCCACATAAAGATGCTACACTCAAAACTATATCAAAGACAATATTAATTCCAGTGAATAGTTTCATTTGTTTAATTGTCTAGCGAGTCATTACCTAAAACACTGATAATAAATTGAGCATTTTTTACCAAAAGTTCTTATATTCTTCATGATCAAATGTTTGTAAAATTATAGACAGAAATTAAAGTATTTTGTTTTCAGTTAGAATGATACTTGGCAGTAAGTGCAGACTAGGCAACAGAACAAAAGTAAATTTGTGTTAAATGATTACATAGTATATTATAATATAATAAAATACTATTAGTATCCGAATGTAGGGCTTGTCATTTTTGAGATGCACCATAGCCCCCCTCCCAAATCCAACCCTCCAGCCTCTAGTAGAATTTGCTGTGACTGGATGCACAGAAACAGAAAAACAAAAAGCTCACGGCTTCCAAATGTCATATTGTGTTCTCTAACAATTAGTAACTTCTGATTCAGTCACAAACGCAACTAAAACTAAGTAAATTAAGTAAATTAAGAAATCAGACATAGCAGTGCACTCATAACTTAGCAGAGTGCAGTAAAATAGTTAAATTGTTCGAAGCATGATTCTTCTAGAGATTTCAAGCTTTAATTTTATATAAACAAAGTATTTTGTATAAACATTCGTGAAGCTATTGCAATTTGAAAAATTAAAATTTTTAAGGGTTAACGTTAAATTAGCCATATGCAGGCTGCAGTGGCACAACTCTGAGTCAAATAAGTAATGTTTTTTTAACTTTCTTCTTTTTTGAAACAGGACACTGTGGGATATATAGGGTTCTATCTCAGTGAAACATGCCTCGAAAAAAACAACTAATACTTTTCCACTATGCCAATCCATTTCTTTTTATACACTAATTCTTATAATTTAACATCAGAAGTCACATGTTCACCAGTATTTATTATGTAAAATTAGATTACACATAAAACACCACAAACGTCCAAATCTTGACAGAGATGCAAGATATTTTTTAAATTACATAAAATAATGAAGAACCATGAAAGCTTGCAGTCAGCAATCGAAAAATGGCAGTTTCCCATACAGTATGAAATCAAAAATAAGCATAAATGTTTATACACTGTTTTATGAAAAATACTTAAGTTTAATCTGGGGTACTTTGTTCCCAAATTACAAATACTGTATTATATGATAGTAGTATAAAAAAAGAAGTGTAAATGGTACACTAAATGGCAAAAATTATTTTATTGTGAGATTAACATTCTCTCTTTAACAATATTTCCATTGTAATAATACTTCACCAAGTGCAAAATTTGTCATAATTAAAAAAAAGTGTATTTCCAAGTTAAAACTACTATTTGCAGACACAATTTTGTTACAAAAACATAAAATAAGTGTTTCATACAACTGCAAAACGATTCCATACATATAGATTTTAAAAATATTTAAAATTGGTAAAAACATTAGATGTTAGCAAGGATAAAATTAAAAGAGGAGCATTCCTACCTAGGATCAGATTATGGCTGAGTTGCTTACCCAGTCCCATGAGGTTGGTTGCAGACTGAGTGGCATCAAGGGCCACCTCGCCTAGGCCATTCACAGAAATACCATTGACCATATTCACAGCTGTAGAGCAAACAAAACAAATTATCAAGTACATTACTTTTCATAGACAAAAACATAATATACTTCATTTCAAATCATTACTATTAATAAAGCGTTTAGCATCAGTCAGATGTAGATTTGAGTAAATGCTATAAACGCGAAATATTACTAAAGGCTGTAAAGTTAGTAACAGTACGCATGTTTAACGACGGACACAGTGTATTTTTGAAGGTGTGAATGTGCGATAAAATGCAAAATTCTGAACAAGCGTGCCCCAGGCTGGAGTCAGCGATGACGTTTGCTTTCAGCAGTGCGCGGAAAGAGAAGATGACAGGATGTTACAGCACGGGTCCGGCCAGATCAGATTTCTCAACACGCTGGGTAGTGAACACAGATTTTTGCCGAGCAGAGCCTAGGACATCCCTACACCCTCAAACTTCACTGAAGAACACTTCCGTGAACACATTCCCCACTACAATTACAATAATACTAATAAATCAGCTGTAGCCCTCCATATATGGAAAACTGGCCACGCCATCTTTTCGATAACACCCGCCTCCTAGCCAGGGAAGACAGCTGAGGACCGAAGAGGGTAAGAAAAGCTGTGAAAATTCTCTAAAATCCCCAGAATCTCAATGCCGGTCAAGGCCTACGTCTCCGTTTTTTTCGGCTTAGCCGCAGGTTTGTGTGGTTGTTTTGCAGTTCGCACGCATTTCGCGTTTTACTGCTATGTGTAAGTGGCTGGTATGGGTTCGCGTCGGACCTTAGTCAATAACCAAATCGGCTTTTGTGTTGCACTACGCCCTCAGAATGCCAGAGAGTGCGTGGTTTGTGAGGAACGACTAAACCGTTTCGGTTACGGCTTGTGGAAGACAGCGCGGAAGTTTTGTGATGAATGTTCTGGGTAGCACTTTGTCAAAGGCATGTACCATGTCGAGATATATGACGGGTACATCCTGTGTAAGTAACAGATCAGTGGAAATCTGCCCTTGACGTCCGGCCACGGGCTGAGCACCTTCTCCCACCCCGCAAAAGGGTGGGGTGGGGTGGGGTGGGGGCGTTGCCTGATTCGCCTATGCTTTTTTCCACATTGGGCGATTGCCCGGCCAACTGGCTGACGAGGAACCTCGCCCTATATAAACTCGTGATCAGTCCAACTCCGAGCATAGGCCGCTGTTCCTAGGACGCGGCGTCTTGCGGAGAGCCAAGTGGTTACTGACTTCGGTCGCGGAAGTCTACGCTCTCTCTCTCTCTCTCAAGCCTCATCTCCGTGAGTCCACCTCAGCCAACTCGATAACAATTTCCTGCCTCCCCGAGATTGTATCGTGAAGTTTGAGCAACCGAAACAAGTTTGGAACTTCTTTTGCATATTCGAATAACTTATAGTTTAAAGGTATGCCGCAGAAAGAAAGAAAAAAATCGGATAGAACGTCTCCATCAACGATAACTAGAGATACTACAACAGCACCTACCTTATCGCATTATTTGTAACTGCTCCGCAATATTATTCTACTACACGAACTTGCCAATGTGTTTTCAACCAGCATTTTTTTTTTCGCGCCGACACTTCAACTTATGTTCTCCGAGTTAACTCGTCATGTGCCATACCGCTACACCAAGCAGCCGCATATCAACCGGACGTACGAACACGGGTCGACGACGCTTAAAATTCCAATTGTCACAACCCAATATTTCCAACAGGCAATTCACGAAAATTTAGAGATCAACTAAAATAAGAAATGAGACCTCCACTATTAATATTATATAAAACAAGACGAAAAAATTGGGACAGTTATTGAGAAAACGTTTTATAGAACTTGGATAAATAATTTAGAAAAAAATTCAGAAAAAATAATTTACATTAAAGTCAACAAAAAATTATGTAAAATGTACTTGGTTTAAAAATGTACATGCCTTTTTTCAAAGAGCTGATTTTTTAGAACAGATTTGGTTTAAAGTAAAAATCTGTAACTTCAAATTTGTAATTTTCGAAACTTCAATGGAACCTCACTTCTATCATACATTGCATCACACATCTACCACCCTACACTTCACATCACACCTACTTCCCCATCTCAGATACGCCTCATCTACATCTCACCTTCACCATTTAACCTCCACCGCATATGAAGAAAGAAATAGCGTCAGTGAATTTTCTCACGGATACTTCCCACTGTAATACACAAAGCATGATCCACTGAAAGAGCCAAGGACAGGCTATGTGGCATCATGAATTTAGAAGCCACATTAAAAGAAGTAATTATCTGAGTGAATGCAAAGGCCTATGATAGGTCGATAGGAAGGCCATCAGATAGACCTTCAGTATCCAACAATAAGACAATATTGAACAATGGACATAATGTAACCATCCCTGGAGTGCCTCACAAGCAGATTTGGGTAATTTGCTTTCAATTTTTTTATACAAAAACAAACATTTCTTTTTCTCTTCATTTTCTTTTTATGATAAATACAACTATTTACAAATATTTATATTTCACAGGTATAAGGTCAATGTTTTACGTATAACTAAGAAAAAAATCATTAAAATGTTGTAAAACAAGATATAGAAAATTCGGAAACGTGCGTAAATCATATCTGCCTAGTACACCCATGTGGGCAAGTTTTTTCCTTCCAAGGGTGACATTTTTATCAGAAGTGACTTTTTATTTCATTTTCAGCTTTCTGAGATTACTTTTCTTTAAAATTATACAATAGTGTTAGGATATGTATATAATCATACAATGCCCAAGACGGGTATTTCTAAAAATTACATGCAAGACAAATTAAAATTCAAGTCAATTCTTGTACTAAATACAATATCATGGAATGCTAATTAATTTCAAAGATGATAGTGTAAGAAAACTTAAGTTTCAAATCAATAACAATAATAAAAAGAAAGAAAGGAAAAAAGAGAAAAAAGTATTTGAAGAGGAATAAGAATAAAATAAAGTCAATGAAATACAATGTACGTCTTGGATCCCTATCATTCCACCATGCTCTAATCTCAAAAAAAGAGTTTAACGAGTCGTCGATGGCAGGGTGAACCTGTCGGACAAAATTTAAGGATTACTTTGATAATCGTCAAGTGAAATGACCTTGGAGAAACGTAAATATAACATTTAATGTGCATTTTGTGAGCCCAAGAAAAATCAATGAAGATTTGTTTTCGTTTATTGTTGTAACATATTACCAAGTTAATGCTTACAATTAACAAATGGAGAAACTACTTAAATGGTCACTGTCTTCATATTCATAGTATTGATTAGAGATTACCGCTAGAGCCTGTATCAGTGGATTCATTACATCACTGGATACTGTCCTTTTCTATGGCTACCCAAAACTAGTTGAAAACATTTTAATATTTCAAAAATTGTAATCATAACAGAGATAAAAATCATATTATTAAATGTTATCTATCCATTGAAGTTATATGAAGCATAAGAAACAGAATTTAAATCAACGAAAAAACAATTACAAATAAACAACAGGAAAACTTCTTAAAATTGTTTAATGCAAAATTGATTATGTAATCTTCAAAATTCCCAATATTAAGAAATCTGGGATATTTCAAGCAAGATTTATTTACTCCGAAAATTCAAAAGTATTATTACAAATGAAAATTTTAGTGTTATTAAGTGTACCTTTCAGGTATGTCGTCTACTCTACAATTAGTTATCCTGTAAATTTGTGAGTATAGATTAGTAGACCTAGTATCAACAGAATATCCACTAGCCTGTTGAAAAATGATATTCACGATAAGACCAACATTTTACGAACCCAATCTAAGGAATATGGCTCTTCAAATTCTGCGGTGGCATCAGCTATGAGATCAACTTTCCTGCTAAAAAATACTTTCCTTCAGCATTTCAGCACTCTAAATATTAACTAGTAATAGTTTTCTTTGGAAAATTTATATTCTCAAACCTAGAAAACAGGGGGAAAAGCATACACTATGAATTACATATCGCCTGTTCTTCACCAAGATGTTTTTAAAGTTCATGATTGGTAAATAACATCTAATAACGTTTCCTGGGGACAACTAATTTATTATAAACCATAAGAAAGTGAAGATTATAACTGTGGGCAAAGAGTAGAATACGAAATCAGTGCTGAATTATTACAACAATACGAGTTTCCCATGTAGGGAGGCAGATATTCCATTTATAAGTGTGTTATGTCATCGTTTACTTCCATAGGGTTCTGCATCTTTTGATTGTGGACTAACAATTGTATTTGGAATGAAATTTTTGATCTTTGACACTCCTAAAACAAAGGTTTGTAAGCAAATTTTCCAAAACATATGCAAAGTGCTAAAAAACGATAATGAAACTCACGTCAATGCAAATTAATTCACATTTTGCTTTCATTATTATGGTTCTTATATACAGTATTATTACGAAGGCCTGGTTCAGTCATGCCCTTGTTATAGTGATGATTAATGTATTATTGATATTTATTATATTGTATTTCTCTTTCCAGATGTGCCTCTCTACAATTTATATTGATTCTCTTGTACCAAAATTACTAATTGTCACTAAGATTATCATACCATTTACAAAATCAGAATTTTAGAGGAAAATGCTGGTAGTCACAGTTTTCTTACTGAACTGTTTGTGCAATTAGAAATGCCTACAAAGTAAGAGTGGTGAAGAGTTTCAATTTAAGCTCAGATGAACTTAGCAAAAATTGAAAGGAGAGGAAGACGATATGAACATTGTAACTCTCATTACAAATATGAAATTTTCTCAGGATTAAAAGCAAGCTAGATTTACTAGACCCAGAAAGAAAGCGGAACTGATTACATCATAATCCTCCCTAAGGGAGAATTTACAAACGTGAAAGGGATTAAAGGGACCATCTTTATATATCAGATTCATCTCTCTTCTTTAGTTCTTAAAAATTTTATCTTAAACACTAACTTTGTGTGGGTTTCATTTTATAAAAGAATTTCTTTTACATAATTCAATTGCAGAATTCTTCAATGCATAAAAATGCTATATCCTAAGATTTCTGTTGGGGAA